TCTACGTTCGCTATCTCGATCAGAAAGATTGGGATGAGTACGCCGAGCGACTAACCTTTTACGATCAATGCGGCCCACGATCGGATCCGAGGCGACACCCCTCATTATCGGGGGCATGGGTGGGATCCGAGATCGACCCTAGAGACTACACTGCCTTGTCGTATGTACCAGACGGCGCGATCGAGACGCGCAGCGATGGCGTTATCGGGTCCAGTGATATTATCAGCAGTCCCGAGAGCGAGGCAACGCCAGATTGAAGGAAGCCATTGCGAATCGGGCCAGCCGACACAACGATGACGTCCGATCGCACTAGATCGAGGCTGGTCTGGTTATACCTAGACCTGGTGATGGAAGGATACGCGCGGAAACTGACTCACCTGCGGCATGGGTCATTCCGGATGGCTGAAAAGATCAATGAATTCAGCGTCAAGCTCAAGATCGCGGGTACTGGGTACCAGATCTTTCCAGTAGTTCATGTGTCGAAGCTGAAATTGGTCAAGAACTTTCCAGATCGGCCGCAAATAAAACTCACGGTGGATGAAGCAGATCGCCTCGATTTCGATGAAATCTTGCTTCCGGAGGACAGCTGGGTCCCAGATATCGGGGCCGATGAGTTCGAAGTCGAGCGGATCTTGGATGTGCGGAGTGGGAAGAAGACGCGTTTTGGTCGGATCTACCGAGAATTCCTGGTGCATTGGGCAGGATATGACGAGCCAACCTGGCCGACGATGCGAAGTTGATCTCAACTGCAGGGCGATACCGAACGCCTTCCTGCGAGATCGAGCTAATCGAAATCGCTTCGATGTGATGCAATCACATGAGGAAATGTAAGGAGGACGGGGGAGATTGTCTGATCGTCTCGACCCGGAGGAAGTACAAGTCGGATGAGACTGAGATCAGAAGTTCATGATGTATATGTGCATATAGGAAATGTCGACCTTCGCAATGGATCGCGGAAGGCGTGGTGAGCGTAAAGGGAGGTCACTTAGGAGGAGCGACGAAAAGAGCAAACAAGCAAAGATGTGACTGAAATTGAAGATTATGGAATCGACAAGAAGAATCGCGATCACGGTGGGAGAGTGGAGAACACGGAAGTTTCCCGCTAGATGAAGTTAGATCCATGATCACGGAGCCGCTGGAGGGTTGAACTTGTTCGCGAGACGAGGGATCTGCAGCGATGGGTGAGCGGTACCGGGATCGCAATAATGGTTCTTCCAGGGATCCGCCGGATCGCACTCGAACAGAGCCATGATCAGGTCGGTCGACTCAGGGAGCTTCGCAGTCGGTTGCGCGAGATTGGCCGCCCTGGAGCCCAATTCGAGATACCAACGTACCCAATCCCGGGTTGTCGCCAGGTGGAGGAAATAGGGATCCAGCAGGACGTCGATATTAGCCCACTGGCCCCTCATCATTAGGAGGCACTTTTCCAACAGTTTCCGCCAACTTTCTCCGACGCGGATGCGTCGCTGACGTCGATCCTGGTGGTAGGTGGAGAGATCAGGGTCCGCGGCGGC